GGTAAGAAAGGGAAAAAAGGGGAAGGGAAGGAAAAATTTCCTCCCTTTCTTTCCTCTTCCTTTTTCTCTCCTCTCTCCTTTTTTCTCACGCTTCCTCTTCCTCCTCCTCCTTTCCTCTCTCTCTCTTTCTCTTCTTCCTCTCTTTCCTCTCTTCTCTCTTTTTTTCTTCTCCTCTCTCTCTTTTTCTCTCTCTCTCTCTTTTTCTCTCTCTCTCCTCTTTCTCCTCTCTAGGTGCGACTCGTCTTCTCTGTCTTGAGCTCTCCCTGGATGGGACCTGGAGAGGGCTCCAGACGATGTATGCGTCAAGTATAATCGACGAGCTCTTTCTCTCTCTCTCTTCTCTCTCTCTTTCTCTCTCTTCGTCCTTTCTTCATATCTTCTCTCTTTCTCTCCTCTCTCTTTCTCTTCTCTTCTTTCTCTCTCTATTCTTTTCTCTCTCTCTCTCTCTCTCTCTTTCTCTCTCTCTCTTTCTCTCTCTCTCTTTCTCTTCTCTCTCTTTCTCCTCCTCTCTCTCGTTTCTCTCTCTCTCTTTCTCTCTCTCCACTCTCTCTTTCTCTCTCCCCTCTCTCCTCTTTCTCACTCCTCTCTCTTTCTCTCTCTCTCTTTCTCTCGTCTCTCTCTTTCTCTCTCTCTTTCCTCTCTCTCTTTCTCTCATCTCTTTCTTCTTCTTCTCTTTCCCTCTTCCTCCTTTCTCTCTTCTCTTTCTCTTTCTCTCTCCTCTTTCTCTTCTCTTTCTCTTCTCCTCTTCTCTCCTCTTCTTTTCCCCTTTTCTTTCTCTCTCTCTTTCTCTCTCTCTAGCATCTCTTTCTCTTTCTCTCGTCTCTTTCTCTCTCTCTCCTCTCTCTTTTTTCTTTTCTCTTTCTCCTCCTCTCTTTCTCTCTCTCTCTTTTCTCTCTTCCCTCCCCTCTTTTCTCTCTTTCTCGGCTTGTCTTTCTCTTTCTCCGGCCGGTTTCTTTCTCTTTTTCTCCGATGCTTTCTCTTTCTCTCTTTCTCTTTCCTCACTTTTCCTTTCCCCCTCCCCTCGTTTTCCTCTTTCTCTCTTTCTCCCTCGTCTCACTCTTCTCTTTCTCCCTCCCTTC